ATTCAAATGACTAGATACTAGGACAGGGGTTCTCAACCTGTGGGTCCCTAGGTGTTTTGGCCTACAACTCCCAGAGATCCCACCAGTTTACCAGCTATTAGGATTTCTGGGGTTTGAAGGCCAAACCATCTGGGGATCCACAGGTTGAGAACCACTGTACAAGGGTTTAAATCCCTACTCAGCCCTGGAAACCCACTGGGTGACCTTGGGTAAGTGACACTCTTTCTGTTTCAGAAGAAATCAAGGGGAAGCCCCCTATACATAAATCTGTTAAGAAAATCCCATAATAGGGTTACTGTAGATTAGAAAGTGCTTTAAGGCACACAACAATTCCTGAAAATGGTGAGAAGGAGAACAGGTTTGGAATGATACCTGCTGTTGTAACTTTCTTGTCCCTTCCAAGTTGTTTCCTGCCTTCAGCAACCGTAAGGCAAAACCCATCATAGAGAGTACTTGGCAAGATTTATTCAGAGGGGGTTTGCTTATGCCTTTCTCTCAGGCTGAGAGAGTATGACTTGTTTAAGGTCACCCAGTGGGTTTGCATGGCTGAGCAGGAATTCGAATCCTGGTCTCCATAGTCATAGCTCAACACTCAAAGCATTACACCATACTGGAGATGTGTCATCATAAGCTACCGTCCTAAAAATACAAGAAAAACAGGATGCTGGTTACCTGGGCAGTGTCTTCTCAGCAATATCATGGTATGTATATTATATAATCTGTATCTGGCAATTAGTTGACACCCAGAGCCATATTAATGTTATTAATTATGAAAAGCAAGTCATCTGTAGTATCGACTTCTTGGGATCCCATCTACGGGTGCACCATAGGCATACCTGCACTGTAAAATCAATGTAGTCTGACACCACTTTAACTGCCGTGGCTTTGTGAAGCATCAACACTCTTTGGCAGAGAAGGCTAAAGACCTTGTAAAACTACAGCTCCCATGGTTCTATAGCATTGAACCATACAGGTTAAAGTGCATTAATTACAGTGTAGAACTGCAAGTCGTTTCTGGTGTGAGAAAATTGGCTGTCTGCAAGGATGTTGCCCAGGGGACGCCCGGATGATTTGATGTTTTGTCATCCTTGTGGGAGGCTTCCCTCATATCCCCACAAAAAAAAGTGTAGAACCAGCTTATGACTGTTCCAGGCCAGTTGTTACTGTGGAGCCGTGTTTATCATTTCTCTCTCTGTGTGTGTATATGTGCGCATATGCATAGGCCCCACAGGGAATTTTGTCTCATGATCTTTATCTGAAAAATGAGATTTCTGGGACTGGAGCAGGCAAGATAGCTGGTGGCACCGCCCCTCCCCTTCAGCTGTCTATGTGTTCTAGCTATTGACTATTATATGTTACTTTGTCTTCCCTGTTTACCAAGGGATATCTGTAAAAAACACATATTTTTTAACTGGGGGGAGGGGTCACAAAAACAGTGATGGGGGGTGACATGCAGGGCCCAATATGCACTTTCCCCACCCCTGCTCTGTGGGGTTGTACTTCAGGGAGGTTTTTGCAACCTAGCAATCTCTATTACAGAATGTTCTGCTTAATCCTGCAACACCAGTGGTAGTGGTCCTAACACCAAGCCGGTATCAGGAGATACACTGATTCCATACTCTTTCTTTGTCATCTGCTTGGCCAAAGTTCAGGACACAGGAACTTTGCTAAGATTAAGGCCTAGTAACATCAGCTCTCTCACAGACAGGTCCTTCCAGTTCAGGATTTCTTCCTTCTGGAACACTAACCCCTATGGCTATGAACTTTTCCATTAGCAGTGTTTACAGCAAGTGCTGTTTGCCCCGAGTTGACCGTTTCAGTAAAACAGGGACATTAAGGGGTCCAAGGCTAGCAGTTCCCTTTCTCTGGCACTAGCTACACTGAAGAATTAATGCAGTTTGACAGCTCTTTAACTGCCATGTTGCAATGCTATGGATTCATGGGAGTTGTAGCTTTACAAGGTTTTTAGTCTTCTCTGCCAAAGAAGGCTACCGCCTCACCAAACTACAAATCCCATTGCATTAAGGCGTGGCAGTGATAGTGGTGTCAAACTGCATTCATTTTAAATGCAGTTTGCGTGCGGTACCTCAAAATATTGACTTTATCGGTGGTGCTTCTCTCCATGTACATGGAATTGCTAACACATAGGCTGGATCCATAATAACATATAATGCAGTTTGAATGGTCAAAGTAGACCCATATAATGTAGTTCAGTAAAGTTCAAACTGAATTATATGAGTCCACACTGTCCACATAACACAGTTTCAGACTGCCTTATATGGCAATATAGATCCAGCTAGTGTTTTCAAAGAGGCTGTGAAAATGTTTACAATGTTTTGTTTTCTCCAACCTTTCTGTCTGGAATAAACATATATAAATAAATGGTCCTGTTAGAAGCAGTCATTCCTGTTTCCCATCTTCTACCTCAGGCAAACTTCAGCCCTCCAGGTGTTTTGGATTTCAACTCCCACAATTCCTAACAGCTGTCAGGAATTGTGGGAGTTGAAGTCCAAAACACCTGGTGTGCCGAAGTTTGCCCATGCCTGCTCTACGTCCTGAATATTATTTATTGCATGGCATTGTCTTGTTGAAGTTCCTCATGGGAGGGAATAGGTATGATATTCCCCTGTGTTCCTACCAATTGCGGTCACAACATTAGAAGCTAATGCCTGGGATCATTTTAGAGTAGTTCATTGCCTAACCATAATACTTTTTGCAAAATCAAGGCAGATCCTCAAAGCATATACATTGACTAACTTTTTATGAATCAGACATAGAAAGAGGAGACTTACTATTGACCCAGAGAAAGAAACTTGTGCAATGTCTGTTTCGAAAGACAAGCTGAAACAGGCATTAGTTTTTGTTTCATCAGCTGAAAGGGAAGCTGTTTTATCACTTTTGTAAACATTGTGCAAGACACATCAGTAAAATTCTGTGAGTTAGGAGGCTAGCAGAAGAGTCCAAAGTGTTTGTGCTTGAATTATATTAATATTAAATAAACATCATTAAAATGAGAAACAAGTTCTGATCCTTATTCCATCATTACTGAAATGAACTGCTATGGGATCCTGGGAATTGTAGTTTGGTGAGGCACCTGAATTCTGGCAGAGAAGAGTAATGAACATGTAGAACTACAGCTTCTACAATTAACCTTAACTCAAAAACATGTCTAATCCAATGTTTGTGAATTGTTTAATTTTAACTTAATGTTGCCTAATGTTTGGTGTCATAATTTAATTTTCATGATTTCCTGTTTAAATTTTTATGGTTATTGTATTTTGATATTGGCATTTAATATTTGCCGTTGTTTATAGGAAACTGCCCTGAGTCCTCACAGGGAGTTAGAGCAGGATATAAATAAAGTTTTATTATTATTATTATTCCACTGCAGAATGAATGTAGTTTCACACCACTGACTCAATGCTACAGGTTGCTGGGAGTTTTACTTTTACAAGCCTCCTCTGCAAAAGCATGCTATTATTACCATAGCAAACAACAACTCCCACGATTCCACAGCACTGAGCCACAGCTGTGAAAGAGTGAGGGTCAAACTTAGGACTTCATCACACTGAAGCAAGAAAGTCATACTCCGTTTTGAAATTAAACAGATGATTTCCCTACCTTCATCACACTGTTAAATGTATCCGTGGTACTCAGTTGTACTCAGCATTCTTTCAGTTGATTTGCCATCACACTGTAATCGCTAGACACCACCCACCATCCCTCCCCCCATTCTTTGTGAAAAAACCTCCTCTGTGAAAAAACCTCCTCTCTTTGAAATGTCAGCTGTTACATGCCTTCAATTCTGGAAGCAGGGAGGGAGGGAAAGCACTCTTTCCTCCTCTCTTCGCTGCCCCACAGAGAAGGGTATGGACCTTGGAAAACTATAACTCCCAGGACTGCATAGTATGGAGCTATGTTATTTAAAGTAAGGTCCATCTGAATTCATTTCACAGTATAGATGCAGAGAAGGTTCATGGACCTTGGGAAACTGCATTTCCCAAGACCATCTCATGGAGACATGGAATTAAAGGTTCAACTGCATTCATTCCAAAGTGCAGATGCACTCAGAGAAGGGTATGGACCTTGGGAAGCTATAACTCCCAGGAGGACTCAATCGCATGGAACTATGGGATGCAAGGGCATTAATTCCATACTGTAAATGCACCAAGAGAAGGGCATGGACCTTAGAAAACTATGACTCCCAGGACTACACAGCTAAAGGCATGGCATAATAATAAGAAGAATCCTTCTCTCCTGGCTTCCCCATGCAACACAAAGCACAGACATATCAGGGAAGGAAGGGACGGGCCCGGAATGGCTATTTTTTAAAAAGTTGTTCTGGCAAAGTAAAAACTTGGTGAGCAAAAGGTAATGCTTTCCCTAACAAGAGGATTACTGGCTCTTCCTACAATTTCCCCTCTCACAAATTGGGAAAACATGTCATTCTAAACCTGAGAGCAACAAACCTGAGAGCAACAAATGCCATGTGGGGACATGAGAGAAGCCTCCCACAAGGATGATAAAACATCAAAACATCTGGGCATCCCCTGGGCAACGTCCTTGCAGACGGTCAATTCTCTCACACCAGAAGCGACTTGCAGTTTCTCAAGTCACTCTTGACACGACCAAAAAAAAAAAAGCTCCTCCTCGCTTTCGGCCATCAAAGCGGTGTCATCTGCATATCTAAGGTTGTTAATGTTTCTTCCAGCAATTTTTACCCCATTTTAATTTTAAGCTTTCCTGTCTTCTCATTGAGACTCCGTATGGAGATATAAAGCGGGATATAAACAAACAAACAAGCCAACTGGCTCTGAGTCACTCTCTGCAGTGCTGAAGGCGAGGGCCTCCATTTCGCCGCCCGTTGTGAGTGGACGGCGGCGCCACAATGGGCGTGGAGCTCAGCCTATGAGGGAGCGTCTCGGCCTCTGGAGGGAGCGAATGGGAAGGCGCGCCTCCCCGCAGCTCGTCGGCCCGTCGCGGAGGGGCGGGGCCTAGGGAGGCTTTCTGCTTTCTCCTTCCTTTGCCCGTGGCTGCCTTCCGAAGTAGGTCGGTTGGCGGGCCGTTGGGCGCCGTCTCGCGATGGGACGCGGCGCGTGAGGAGGGGAGGCGAGTGAAGCCGGGCCCAGGAAGGTGGAGGCGGCGCGCGCCCTTCCCTCCTTGCCTCCTTCCCTCTTCGCCCAGCGTGGCGCCAGCGGCCCTGGGTTCTGCCTGGGCGCCCCGTTCCCTGCTTCCGCCGGCTCCTCTGCCAGCCGCCCTCCCAGCCTTCAGCCATGCGGGGCAGCCGGGGGGCATGGACGCCGCCGAGCACGACGCCCTCTCCGCCCGGGAGCAGCTCTTCCACGAAAGGGTCCGGGAGTGCATTGTGAGTCACGGGCCGGGGAAGCCGGGGGCGGCGCGGCGGGCCTTTCGGAGGAGAGCAACAAGTGGGCCCCTCCCTTGGGGTCTGTTTACTTCAGAGATAAGGAGTGGAGCACGAGAGCCAGGTTGACATATCTGAGGTGCTGCTCTACACTGGAATAATGGAACCAAATGGCAGGGAAAGAGGTTCCACTTAAACATTAGGAAGAACTTCCTGACTGACAGTGGAGTCTCCTTAGAATCATAGAGTTGAAGAGACCCCATGGGCCATCCAGTCCATCCCCCTGCCAAGAAGCAGGAATATTGCATTCAAATCACCCTTGACAGATGGCCATCCAGCCTCTGTTTAAAAAGTTCCAAAGAAGGAGCCTCCACCACACTCCGGGGCAGAGAGTTCCACTGCTGAACGGCTCTCACAGTCAGGAAGTTCTCATGTTCAGGTGGAATTGCCTTTCTTGTAGTTTGAAGCCCTTGTGCCACGTCCTAGTCTCCAGGGAAGCAGAAAACAAGCTTGCTCCCTCCTCCCTGTGGCTTCCTCTCACATATTTATACATGGCTATCATATCTCCTCTCAGCTTTCTCTTCTTCAGGCTAAACATGCCCAGCTCTTTAAGCCGCTCCTCATAGGGCTTGTTCTCCAGATGCTTGATCATTTTAGTCGCCCTCCTCTGGACACATTCCAGCTTGTCAATATCTCTTCAATTGTGGTGCCCAGAACTGGACACAATATTCCAGGTGTGGTCTGGAGAAGAGACAGGTAGCATGACTTCTCTGGATCTAGACTCCTATTGATGCAGGCCAAACTCCTATTGGCTTTTTTGCCGCCACATCACATTGTTGGCTCATGTTTAACTTGTTGTCCACGAGGACTCCAATATCTTTTTCACACGTACTGTTCTCGAGCCACGCATTCCCCATTCTGTATCTTTGCCTTTTGTTTTTTCTGCCTTTTAAGTAGAAGCTGGATGGCCATCTGTTCGGAGTGCTTGGAATATGTGTTTCTGTATATCAGGTATGATACACCTTGCAGGTGTTTTGGACTTCAGCTCCCACCATTCCTAACAGCCTCAGGCCCTTTCCTTTTCTCCCTCAGGTGCTGAAGTGGCTGAGGGAGAAAAGGAAGGGGTCTGAGGTTGTTAGGAATTGTGGGAGTTGAAGTCCAAAACACATGGAGGGAAGGCCAAAGTTTTCCCATGCCTGCTTTACATATTACTTCAGGCCCATCAGGCTGTGGGGGGGGGGGGGGGGCTTGAGGGGCTTCAGCCCCCTCCCCCCCAAAATTCTCATGGTGGTCCACAAGAAGGCCTTACTGGTGCATTATTTAAAATGTTATGTTTATTCATATCATGATCTGATCACCATGCTCAATATATCTCGTATGCATGGGGGTATTGGGGTAATGATACAAAAGGTTTGCTAGGGTAGACCCTCTTTCACTCAGACTCAGCCTCTTTCACTCAGACAAAATGCATCAGAAAAACAATAACAAAATGAAAAAATAAAGCAAATCCACACAATATAAAGTCAAACAGGATGGGCAGACCAAATGGACAAGATAAAATGATAAAACCCTGGGTGAGTTAGGAATAGGAGATATGTAAGTGAGGGGAGCCCAAGAAAAGAAAACTGGGGTAAGGCTCTACTCCCATCAGCCTCATCTCTGGGTCACAAGGATGTCTTCTTGCTGAGAGAACCTGAGGCCTACTACATTCACTCTACAGCCTAGAATTAATGCAGTTTGGCACCACCTTTAAATCGCTGGTTGTCACTTTTAAAGCTCTAAATCAGGCCTGGGCACACCTCCAGGTGTTGGACTTCAACTCCCACAATTCCTAACAGCCTCAGGCCCCATCCTTTCCCCCCACAGCTGCTTAAGTGGGAAAAGGAAGGGGCCTGAGGCTGTTAGGAACTGTGGGGGTTGAAGTCCAAAATACCTAGAGGGCAGAAGCTTTCCCATGCCTGCTGTATAGTCTAGAATGAGGCAGAACTGGATAACGCTTGGGGTCTCTTCCAGCTCTCCTCCCATCAGCCTCATATCTGGGTCATAAGGATGTTTGGCAGCACTTTTAAAGTGCTGGTTGTCACCTTTAAACCTCTAAAACAGGCCTGGGCAAACTTGGGCCCTCCAGGTGTTTTGAACTTCAACTCCCACAATTCCTAACAACTTCGGGCCCCTTCCCCCCTCCCACAGCTGCTTAAGTGGGAAAAGGAAGGGGGCTGAGGCTGAGGCTATTAGGAATTGTGGGAGTTGAAGTCCAAAACACCTGGAGGGCCCAAGTTTGCCTAGGCCTGTCCTAAACGGTTTGAGTCCAGACTACCTGGTTAACAGCATCTCTTCATATGTGGCTGTCGTCACAAACCCCATTGGTGTCTGGGCACTGCACACATTAGGGGAGGCCCTCCTCTCAGTCCCACCCTCGTCTCAAACCCCGCTGGTGGGAGCAAGAGAGAGGGTAGCCCTCCCTCCCCACCTTTGGAACTCCTTCCCAAAGATGATCAGAATGGCCTCATTGCTGTCTCTTAGAAAGCAAATTAATCTTTCCTATGCACTCAGGCATATGGAGATGTGAATGTTTGAAGACCCAACACTATGAAATAAGGAATATAATTTAGACACATCTTTTAACTTCGTTTTATTAACTATATAATTTATGTAATTTATTATTATTTTCTTCTGATTTACTTGATTGTTGAATGTTCTGCTATGCTTATTATGAATTGTTTTCATTTATTGTTGTATTTCACGGCATTAAATGTTTGCTTTTTATGTTGTTAACCACCCTGAATCCCCATGAGGAGACAGGACAGGATAGAAATAAAGTTTTACTTACTTACTTTCGCTGCCCTAGTTCATCGCAGGCACTGCCCATTGCCTGCATTGTAGAGCCATCTTTTCCTGCAATCTGAACCCATAGCTATGGAATCCTGGGAGTTATGGTTTACAATATCAGCAGGCTCCTCTGCCAAATACGGTGTTGCCTGCATTGTAGAACAAATGCAGTTTGGCACTGTTATGCTTTTAAATTGAAAATGCACTGAATATGGTTGAATGGTTTTTAACTGAATTTTTCATACTGTTTATATTTAATTCTGTTTTAATGTTTGTATATTTATGTATTTTAAATTGTATAACAATGCTGTTATGTTAAGCAGCTTTGAATTCCCTTCAAGAGAGATAAAGTGGGATATAAATAAATAAACAAATATAATAATACTTTTCACTGACATGGAACAGTGCTTTTACTATAAACTGTGTTGAGTTTCTTTTTTAGAGAGAAAAAGTGGGGTATAAATAATAATAACTTAATAATGCTGTCTAATCCTGGGAGTTTTAGTTTGGTGAGGCATCGGCACTTTTCTGCAGAGACTGCTGGCACCTCGTCTTGTAAAACACCAACTCCCAGGATTCCATAGGATTGATCTCTGACAAATAGTATCAAACGGTGTTAATTAAACTGTATAGATCGGTGTTTCTCAAACTGTGCTCCTCCAGGTGTTTTGGACTTCTCCCAGAAATCCCACCTAGCTTACCAGCTGTTAGGAATTGTGGCAGCTGAAGTCCAAAACATCTGGAGGAGCACAGTTTGAGAAACACTGGTATAGATGCATCCCAAGACTTGGGGAGAGCAGACCCGTTGCATCAGTGGGATTTGGGTTGATGTTAACTGGTCAAGTTTCCACTAGTAAATAAGGACCCAGTAGCCAGATAAAGGGGGAGGGTGTTATTTTGAGGCAAATGACTAAATTGAAGTTGTAATCATTTTCAGCTGATTCAACCACTCTCCCCCCCCCCCCCTTTATCCAGGCTTGTTCCTCCCTTACAGCTGTGCTTTGTCTTAATGGTCTGGTTAGAATCTTCCCTTTCTCCTCCAAATTTCACAATTTTAGTATCTCACTCTTTTTTCCAACAAGTTTTGAGGACAGCTCTTAATTTCTTAACAAGTTAATTTACAAGTTATTAGGAAATTGCTAATTTTGCTTTTTTGCTTGGTATTTCTCAGAATTGCTTCTTTATCTTTGTCATAGTAATAACCAATCCATTCTATTTAAATGCACTGGAGACCACTCCAAGAACTTAGTTAAGCCTACAATAATAAATATCGAATCAATGCTATACGCAACAAGTAGTGATTCAACCAAGGCTTTTGAATAAACTTTGCAACTGAATAGAGACTTGGACCAAATTCTTTTTCACGTCCACATTCCCATCAAGAAATATTTTATTTCACCTTGAGATATATTGATGCCTTAGCAGCTTCACTGCTGTATTCTATGTGTGATAGTATGACGTTTGTTTGTGCACTCATAGGTCTGTGGTTGTGAGACCTTGTGACCTTAACAATCTGAAATGTCTTTAAGTAGTAATTCTAGATTGCCTCTCAAATGGAGAATGCCAGAGACTTGTATTAATTTCTGATGAAGTTTGTGTCACTTGGTTAAGGATGATATTCACAGGTAACATAGTGGATGGTCTAGTTGTGCCTTTCCAAATTGTGTACCTTCTAGTTGATTGGGCTACAACTCCTATTAGATTCATGCAACAGAGCCAATGACTGGGGACACAATTGGTGGTTTTAATAAAAGAGACCACCCACTTGGGAATGGTCGATCTGATACTGATCAAGTTTCTAAGTCTCTGACTTAGTGGGTTTCTTGGGTGCAATTTGCATGCACTTCTTAATACTTCATGAGTTCCCTCTGCGTGTTTCTTAAAAATGAATCAGGCAGCAGATTTATCCAGGACTTAGATGGGCAATCTCTGTTTGCAGCACCATGTGCAGATTTCAGAGATTCTTGGAGGAAGGGCAAATATAAAATCTTTGATGTGAATCAGTAAGTCTATATACATGCAGACATGTGTTTTTTGAGTGATATGCAATAGTTTCTTAACTGATACAAGAGCATGCAACATAACTGTTGACATGCCTCCAGAGCTTTTCTCTAACCTTGAGAAACATTTCTAATTGGTATATGTGCACAAGCACAGCTGTACTTGCCTTTGCT